TTTTTGGATTAATGCTAGCCTTGTGGGGGTGAGATGATATCTCTTTGTAGTTTTGATCTGCATTTCTCTAATGGCTAATGATTGTTAGCATTTCTTCGTGTGTCTGTTAGCTGCCTGAATATCTTCTTTGGTGAAGTGCCTATTCATATCCTTTGCCCGTTTTTTAATTGGGTTATTTATCTTTTTGTTGTTGAGGTTTTGCAGTATCTTGTAGATTTTAGAGATTAGATGCTGATCGGGTTTGTCATAGCCAAATTTTTTTTCCTAGTCTGTGTGTCATAGTTCTTAATGCTTTGTGTAGAAATGAAGGAGACGCGAATTGGAGGGAAGCTTTGTAAGAGATAGTTGTTCAATCCAGGCATCCAAGACCTGCTCTCAGGTTGTAGAAATGAGGGAAAGACAATGTTTAAAGATAGAATGTAGAGGAGGAAATGGTGTAGGTGAGTGATGTATTGGAGAAAAAAAAAAGAAATTGAAAAGCACTAATGTTTTGAGTTAGAGAAAATGGGGGCAAGTGATGGTATCATACAGGTGAATTTCCATCAGAAGGAATTTAGAAACGTCTCTAAATTATTTAGTTGTGATGAAATGTAAAATTGAATACATTGCTAGAAATCTGATCCCCAGGCTTTAGGATCTAGAGCTGAAACAGCTGTGCCTAGCTTCTTCGTGGTAAATTAGCAAGTGAAAAGAAGTACTTTAAAGAGGTGTTATGCACACATCACCACTTCTACTCCTTTTTTTCTATTTCTGGATATTTTTCCCATGTTTTATTCTGGTAGATAGCTTGGGTGGTTTTTGTTTAGATGATTTTGATGTTTGAAGGAAGAAATGAACTGAAGGATAATTGCTGCTTGATGGCAAGACAGAAAACTATAAAAAGCACAGTTATAACAGCTTCTCTGAGATATAAGCATCAGAGTTAAGTCCTTTCTTTAAGGGCAATAATTATTATAAAAGCAATCTCCAGAGATAGTGCTTACAACCAGACCAGCAAAGCATTGCCTGTCTTGGTCATCTGATCTTCTATAAAGAGCTCTTTAGTAGTAGTAATCTTTGCAATAGAACTTTACTTGTGTTAGAGAAGAATTACTCTGGTCTGTGTTAAATGTAATAGCATTCTATATCAAGGAAGTATTTCTGTACAAATAGTATATGCCTGCTGTTGACCCAGACTTATACACCTTCTCCTCACTTATCGACTGTCTTGTTATCTGATATTTTGCATTTACAACATTAGTAAAAAATCTACTATCTATTTTATGCATTAATAACATGTCTGGCAGTAACGAACACTGAGGTGACAGTAATGCTGGCTGTGATGGTTGAAGTTATGTGTCAGCTTGGCTGGGCCATGATTCTCAGTGGTTTGGCAGTTATGTGATGATGTAATTTGGCAGTTATGTAATGATGTAGTCATCCTCTGTTGTTGCGTAACACGATTTCTCATAACGACTGGGTCTTTGGAACCTAACCATGTTGGTAAGTGAGGAAAGGGTGTATTCCAAAGTAACTATCATGCTTTTATAATCAAAGACACTAATGTTGATATTGCTTTATTCTAACAGAGAGTTGATGTGGAGTCATACTTGCTTGCTTTATCACCTATAGACTACATGGCAGGGTTTATGGTGGAAGTTGTGGTTGCTGCTAAACCATCTGCATTGATGAATATCATGTGTTGATTTTTTTAAATTTAAGAATAAACAAAATTACAAAAAATTGTTGTTAAGTGCCATTGAGTTGGTTCTGACTCATAGCAACCCTATGTACAACAAAATGAAACACTGCCCAGTTCTGCACCATCCTCACAATTGTTGCTATGTTTGAGCCCATCATTGGAGCCGCTGTGTCAATCCATCTCATTGAGGGTCTTTCTCTTTTTTGTGACTCTCTACTTTATCAAGTATGATTTCCTTCTCCAGGGTCTGGTCCCTCCAGATAACATGTCCAAAGTGTGTGAGATGAAGTCTTGCTGTCCTCACTTCTAAGGAGCATTCTGGCTGTACTTCTTCCAAGACAGATTTGTTTGTTCTTCCAGCAGTCCATGGTATATTCAGTATTCTTTGCCAACACCATAACTCAAAGACATCAATTCTTCTTTGGTCTTCCTTATTCATTGTCCATCTTTCGCATGCATATGAGCCAACTGAAAATACCATGGTGTCATGGTTTGAATTATGTCCCCCCAAAAATGTGTATATCAGTTTGGCTGGGCCATGATTC